AATATGTATGTATATATATATATATATATATATATATATATATATATATAACTTCATTTGCATGTTCACTGATGTTGGTCAATGGTCACATGGCATGCTGGTAAATAAACAAAATATTTCATCTTTTTTATTAAGTGTTTTATATTTATTGTTATTTTAAAATTATTTATTTTAATGTTATATTTGTATGGTTTAATTAATTATATGCTTTTCATTAAACTCATGAACACCCTGAAGTTTCTTCATGAACCCCAGATTGGGAAACCTTGATGTAGTGTAATTGTTTAATGCACATCATGTTGTTAATGACAACGAATGGAATATATTTTCTTTATATTTGTATTTTTATATCAATATGGAACTTTTCCACAACATTCTAATTTATTGAGATGCACCTGTATTATCCTATTTAAATCTATGTTATAAACAAGTTGGTTCAAACGTAATCTAAAAGTAATTAAAATGTAGTCTGATTATATTACCTAAAATGTGTAATGTAATGGATTATGTTACAAACTACAGTTTCTCTTCTAGGGAACTCGCATTGCGTCCTCTAGTCGCTGCATGAATTTATTATGAATGCATCACAACAGACATAATATGAGGTGAAACAACCCATTCAAATTAATCTGTCTTTTACAACTGGATGACACAAGTCAACAGACTGATCTGAACCATTTTCTATATGTGGGAATCATTGGAACAAAACACATTTAAAGATTGATACTTCATTCTTTAAATAATAATAAATAATAAACAACTCAAATTCAATTTTTTCTTTAGTTTCTCATTTGATTTGTTCAAACCTGACCTTATAACTTAAAAAAAACGGCAACAGCACATTGACGGCGCATTCTGCGATCGATGGGTATAATTTAGGGTTGTGATGGTAAGAAAAAGAGGGGGGTAGTTTCCTTGCTTTCCTTCCGTTTTAAATAGCTTGTAAAAGTGCCCTGCGCATTTTATTTTAATTTTCAAATTAGCGCCAATTCCGCGTCAAGCAGTTGTTTGTTTTTAGTTCGTTTGAGGTTTCCCTCTTTTGCTTACTTTCCTTCGCTTTTAAATAGCTTAAAAGCGCCGTGCACATTTTACTTTCACTTTCAAATTAGCAGCAATTCGGCGTCAGTTGCTTGAATTCAATTCAATTCAATATAAATTCTAAAATAAAATATAAAAATAAATTTAAAAATATAAATATAAATATAAAATTGAGCGCGCACCAGTACAAAGGGCAGAGCTGAGCGGAGCGGACAGGGCGATTCTCTCCTGAGAACAGTCCAATTGGCTGTAAATACATATTTAAACTTTAAATAAGTATGAAATATATCAGTGTTTTTTTCGCTTATTTATTTTCGTTTGGACATGCTTATATGTTGGTGTTTTGATATAGCCTATTTTTTAAATATATGCTGTAAAAGGTTATTATATGGTATACGATAGTATTTTAGGTTGTTTAAATTGGAAAAAAGCGAAGATTCTGCGGCACCCACTTTGGGAACCACTGCTCTAGTGAACACTATGAGGACTGCCACCAGCAGGACCAGTGTCTGAAGCACGTGTGAAACAACTCCAATTCCATTGGCCCACGTAGCCCGTGATATCACAGGCGGGCGCCCGGAAGTATAAGAGGCAGCAATGGTGGCTACGGAGAGGCATTTGTGGTTAAATCTCATGGACATCGGGAGGAAGGAGAAAGTCCTTCTTGATGCTCCGCTTTCACCTTCCGGGCTTTTCGGCACTTCCGTTGAGACGGTGGTCAAGAAGTTCAGGGAGGCGCAGGTGCAGTCCGCTGCCTTCAGGAAGTTCAATTCCTGCCGTACCAAGTCTTCCTCTAAAAGTCTTCCTTCCTCTCTTAGGGGGCTAGTCCGCCCTTGATCTGAAGTTCATGGACAGGCTCAATTTGGCAGCCACTTGAGCCCTTTTCTAGCTGTCTACCCTGTTAAGGTTTTAAGTAGATGGTCTACTTCCCTTTATCCCTTAAGTTTAAGTCAGGTAGTAGGGGTTTCCATTTTTCAGAGTTATGTTAGTGGCCTGAGCCGTCAGTGGCTTGCCCCATTTCTAAAGGGAAGGTTCGGTGTATGTCTGTCACTTCTCTTGGTGCTCTCTCACCAGGTGAACAGGCATGCACTGCGGCATGGCTTAGTGGGCATTCCATTCCCCATAGTGTCCGCCAGAGGATGCAGTGCGAGTTCCCTAGAAAGGGAATGTCTCGGGTTATGCATGTAACCATGGTTCCCTGAGAGGGAACTAGACGCTGCGTCCCTTCACCATGCCTAGGGCTTGCCTGTTTTCACGTCTACCCAGCACTGGTAACAGGATATTTTATAAGACAGAACATAAAAAGAGCACTGGATGAGGATGATATTTAACTTGCAGTTGTCTTCTAGAGTTTGTTAATAACAAAGCAGCTCTTGCCTATGCAGCTTGTGAACAACTCTGTACTGCAGGTAAAGACAATTCATGTCCATTTATATCCAAAACACCTGAACCAGCAAAACAAGGTCTTCTGGATTTCTAGAAATATGTTGGAGTAAGTTACAACTAAATTCTGTCGGATATTGGCCCTCCAGAAGCAGGACTGGACACCCCTGAAATAATGTGTTACCTAATGTATTTATGCTGATTCAGAAGGAATACTGTTAAAATTTTCTCAAACCATCAAGTTCATCTGTTTGACCTCTCAATTTGGAACTGACCACTCAAACTGGAATTTGTCGATTAGTGTCGCCAAACAAAGAAACCTTTGTGGAACAACAACAACAAAAGAGCTGTAGCTAGGAAAGCATGATCAGGCTCTCTTGCCACTGCTGGCCTTGAGTTGTTCCCAAAAAGGTTTTATTAAACCAAAACTTTTTATTTCATTATTCCACTTCAGACATTCTACGAACTGTAAGTAACATTGCAACGCCATGCAGTCATTAGAGTATTAGTAGACTGTCTGGTGAACATCTGCTAACACTTTCTTTCGATGGAAATTCTACTGACTAAAAGTGACTTTGCTAGTGCATGCCAACTTATTCTACTACCCTTAACCTAACAGTCTACTAATACTCTAATGAAAGTTAGTTTACAGTTGCAAAGTTACTTATAGTTAGTAGAATGTGGACTATCAAAATAAAGTGCAACCAATATTTTTGGATGGAGTTTCCTTCCAAACCCATACACAATTAACTGCAATATGTTTACATATATGACATTTCCATATGTGAAATATATTGTCATACAAAGTAAAATCATATATGAAACCTATTAGAAATTTCAGATATTATCATATATATCTAGCCCATACAAATAAATAGGTTTATGAATGTGTAATACATTTTTGAACATATATGTCCAGAGTAAATACAACGTTATATAGATAAGTTATATAGATATTATTAACATATATACAAATACAAATTTTACTATGGGATTATAAAGTTATAAAATATCTTCATCTATCCAGAGAATGTACATTAGTGGAAATTATATATTGCCTTATAGGTAACATATATAGCAGATTCACATTTGATATAGGATAATATATGTCATATATTTCATTTCCATATGGAAACAATCACAAATCCATTGAATTGTCTCAGTAAGGTTCTGAACCTTGTCAGTACTGCACATTTAACAGCTCCCTGTCGTGTGAGGAAACAGAGGGATTTGTTATGAAACCATGGCAAAAGCACAAAGGGATCCTCCATGTTTCAACCGCAGCGTGTCTCTCCACCCACAGCTGGAATGCAGTAAAGTGAGTTTCCATGCTATGAGAAATAGTTCAGCTCGGCGCTGCTGAATAAACACAGACATGAATATTAGGTTAGAGTTCGCTTTTTTAGGGCTGGCCAGTACGGGCTGGTTTTGCTCTATCCTTACAAGATTTCTACCCATGTGGCACGTAACCGGAATGGTGGAGGACATCAAAACAACACTTCCATTGTACTGGGATGGAGTTTGGCTGAACTGGCAACACCACACGACCGGCAGACTTCACTGCACCTTCTATCAGTCTCTGCTGAATCTAACCGAGCACTTTAACACCTGGAAAATCCTCGTCATCACATCTATAGGAATGGGAACTCTTGCCATTGCAGTTTACCCTATTGGCTGGATACGATATCCTAAGAATATATCATTTAAAATAGCTTCCGGGCCCATGTTTGTTGTGAGTGGACTAGTTTTACTGGTGGTGATTTCCTGGACTACACATTTAACTGCTTCGAAAGCCGATGCCGTATTGACACGGAAGTTCGGATCAGCGATCTACACTGGCTGGATAGGCACAGTGCTGCTTGTGATGGGTGGTGTAGTGCTAACCATTATTTGCAGTATAGCAGTCAAAGAGCAAAGACGGGATGAGAGAGCAGCGCAAACTTCAGAGCCAGAGGTTCAGTATCCACTCCAGACCATACAAAGAACTGCATTTATGCAAAGCCCCTTAGCGGATAGTAGACTGTGAGTCTAAGAATGACTGTTGTTGCTTCCACTGTAGGAATTAATTAGACGTTTTAGAAGATCTATTGGTCATGTTACATTTTTATTATTGTTACATAAAGAAATAAACTCTGCTCTGGTTCCTGTTTTGGCGTTTGACA